TTGGCCCTTTGTATTACTTCTTTTGAGAAATGCCTATTTGGATCTCTTGCCTATTTTTAAATTGGATTTTTTTTTTTTTTTTTTTTTTTGCTAGTGAGTTGTTTCAGTTCCTTTTATATTTTGGCTATTAATCCCTTGTTGGATGAATGGTTTGCAAATATTTTCTCCCAGTCTGTAAACTGTGTCTTCCCTTTGTTGATTGTTTCCTTCCTTCACTGTGCAGAGCTTTTTTTTTTTTTTTTTTGAGATGCAGTCTCACTCTGTCGCTCTGGCTGGAGTACAGTGGCGCAATCTCAGCTCACTGCAACCTCCGCCTCTCGGGTTCAAGTGATTCTTCAGCCTCTGCCTCCTGAGTAGGTGGGACTACAGGCACATGCCACCACGCCCGACTAATTTTTGTATTTTTAGTAGAGACGGGGTTTTACCGTATTGGCCAGGCCGGTCTCAAACTCCTGACCTCGTGATCTTCCTGCCTTGGCCTCCCAAAGTCCTGGGATTACAGGCGTGAGCCACCATGCCTGGTCAGAAGCTTTTAAGCCTGACACAATTCCATTTGCCAATTTTTGCTTTGATGTCTGTGCTTTAGAGGTCTTATTCAAGAAATCTTTGGCCAGATGCAAGATGAATAGCCAGTCCATGTCCTTTCAGATTATATTAGGCCAGACAGCCAAAGAATCTTTATAGCTCTGGACACAAGTAAATATATATTGGTGTTCATTTCAAATGAATACAAAAATCTCTGATCTGATAGTGATGGAAAGAGAGATGTTCCAAATCAATGGTCTCACATTATGTCCATAGGTTGTGTTAATCTCCTGCCACAGGCAAATGATACTAGACACAGCTGCAACTGAGTCAACTATTTACTTGAGTTTGTGGTAGATCCACTGTCATCCCACAGCATTCATCTGGGTGGATTTTTGCACAAACTAGAGTGGTAACTTAAATGGTAATGTGACCAGAGATCACTACTAATACATTCTTTTTCTTTGGGACAGAGTCTCACTCTGTCACCCGGCTGGAATGCAGTGGCGCCATCTTGGCCCACTGCAACCACTGCCTCCCGGGTTCAAGTGATTCTTCTGCCTCAGTCTCCTGAGTAGCTGGGACTACAGGAGCGTGCCACCATGCCCGGCTAATTTTTGTATTTTTAGTAGAGATGGGGTTTCACTGTGTTAGCCAGGATGGTTTTGATCTCCTGACTTTGTGATCCGCCTGCCTTGACCTCCCAAAGTGTTAGGATTACAGGCATGAGCTACCACGCCCAGCCTCTAGTAATACATTCTTCAAAGGTGATTCTAATATCTGCCACTTCCCCAGAATGTAACAATGCTTTTGATTTACCATCTTGGCTAGTGGAGGTAGGTAGTTTCAAAGGATTCAGCTTGATTTGACCCTGTAGGGGCAGCTCTTCTCTAGACGCCATGGGGCCAATGTAAGGGTTACGCCAGCTACAAAGTATGTCGTTTCCAATTGTACATGTGACAGCTGTGGAGATGCCCACTGGGTGTGTCCACGGTCCCAGTGTACCTACTGTAAGCCGGACAAGGACCAGGATTTCATTTATTACCTAGCCTGCACATACCCCTGGTTAAACAATGGGACTATGAGGACACTTTGCATCTCTGAGTATCACCTAGACAAATAGCTATAGGTCCTTTTGCAGAAAGACTAGGGTAATCATTATCATGTGCCTTTGCCTTAGTTTTGCAGTCTGCTTCCACTTAGCAATCAAGCCCCTCCTCCAGTCAATAGGTGTCAGCTCTGAAAACTGAAAAGGATGGAGGAGACCATTAATTACTACGGGGTGCCTTGCCTCGGGCTCCTAATGATTCATTCATCCACACTTCTGGTTGTATGGTTTGAGCAATGCCCTCACTGGCTGCCCATCTATCTTGCCTCCAGGAAATTGTGTTTTATTAACCATCATTTGTGGATCAAGTGCCCCAGACTGCCACTCCAAACTTGTCACTTATTAGGAAAATTGTTCACGCCTGTGCCACACCCTGATCTCGATTATTTTTGAATCATATCTCCGTTGTTATCAGTAAGTCCAGTTCTGCAATAATATCTCCTATTGGCAACAGTTCCCAATGATGCTGGTGTTCCTCTTATTAGCACATTTCTTAATGCTTCGATAAATGCTCTCTGGGTCCACTTGCAAAACAGTCATATAGTAGATTCGTTGGATGGGACTGATTCAGGGTTTCTCTGAGGTTGCAGTCAAGGTGTTAACTTGGACTGTAGTCACCTGAAGCTTGACAGAAGCCAAGACATCCACTTCCAAGGGGGCTCACTCACACGGCTGGGAAGCTGGTATTGGTTATATTGGAAAGCCTTGGTTCTTGTCCACAGAAGCAAGTCCACAGGGCAACTTGAAAGACATGGTGGCTTACTTAAGGGCAAGCAACTGAAGACCAAAGTAAAATTCACAATACCTGCTATGAACTGGTTTTGGAAAGCATGTATTTTCACTTCCATTGTATTATACAGATCACACAGGAGAGGACTGGACAAGGGCGTGAATATCAGGAGGTGAGGATCGCTGGGGACCATCGTGAAGCCTGCCAACTGTAGTCTACCCTCCGGTTCCAGTGATTCATGTTCCTCCCATGTGCAAAATACCTTCACCTGCTCCCAATTCCACAATCCTTTATAGCATCGACGCAAAGTCCTGGTAAAGCAAACCTGCACAGATTAGGAATTTAAGCTTTTCTAGAGCCCTCCTATTCTTTTGATTAAGTCTGGGGCTTAGTTCTCAGTTTTTTTCTTTTCTTTGGCTACTGAGGATGAGAATCTCTTTATATGTTTCCTAGGAGGCTCACTAGATTTTATAACACCTAGCCTCTGATGGTTAATCGTAAACAATGTCCATGTATCGGTTCTCCCCCAGCAATACTTATCCAATTCTATAGTCCATATAACTACAATACTCCCATATTTTTCAAATGCTTGATGGATGTCACTAACTGATGCATTTATTTCCCCTGGTATATCATCCCAATTCACCACATATGAACACTGTACTGCTAACTTGTACCAGAGTCTACCAGTCATCTTATCATCTACTTTCTCTGGCAACTCTGGGTATCAGTAATCACTAACTGGTTCCATGGGAAGTGAACTGTAAGATGAAAATTGGCATCCAGGAAGTTTACATAAGAGAAATTAGCATGCAGGAGTGTTCTTAGGCCCAACACCTGTGTGAAGAAAGGAAGGATACCGATTTGGGAGAGAAAACAGTAGGGCTACAGTACATACAGTGACAACAAGGTCAACCACACAAGTTCTGCAGTTTGGATGATCATTCAGAGCTGACTGGAGCTGGAGGAAAAAGCTGGGCCTTAATATCCCCACCTTACGCAGTCACTGGATGTAGGCTATTCCAGGAAAACGAGCCTAATTTGGGATGAGGTGGCTCTGTTCAACTGAGGTGATATTGTTGGAGAGGGTCGTGGCATCCACAATGGCCATATTTTCAGAGATGCTTCATTAACATAACTTATCATTAACATAACATAACTATTAGAAATGTTCCTCCTGTCCATCCTTCTCTCAATTAATAGATCATCACTCTATTTATTTTCCTAATGGCATATACTGTGTACTACAATTATCTTATTTTTCATTCAATTGTTAAGCACTTTTATCCACACTAAAATATAAGTTGTAGTTTATAGGATCCTTTCCTTACACCATATACAAAAATCAACTCTGGCGGAGATTTCATGAAGATGCCAAAAGCAATTGCAACCAAAGCAAAAATTGACAAGTGAGATCTAATGAAACTAAAGAGCTTCTGCACAGCAAAAGAAACTATCAACACAGTAAACAACCCACAGAATAGGAGAAAAAGTTTGCAAACTATACATCTGACAAAGTCTAATATCCAGCATCTATAAGGAACTTAAACAATTTACAAGAAAAAAAAAATCCCATTAAAAAGTCGACAAAGGACATGAACAGAGACTTTTCAAAAGAAGACATACACGTGGCCAAGAAGCATATGAAAAAAAGCTCAATACTGCTGATCATTAGAGAAATGCAAATCAAAACTACAATAAGTTACCACCTCATACCAGTCAGAATAACTATTATTAAAAAGTCAAAAAGTAACATACTGGTGAGGTTGCAGAGAAAAGGGAATGCTTATACACTGTTAGGGGAGTGTAAATTAGTTCAACCATTGTGGAAAGCAGTGTGGCAATTCCTCAAAGAGCTAAAAGCAGAACTACCATTTGACCCAGCAATCCCATTACTGGGTATGTACCCAAAGGAAGAGAAATCGTTCTATCATAAAGACACATGCACGTGTACATTCATTGCAGCACCATTCACAATAGCAAAGACATGCAATAAGCCTAAATGCCCATCAATGGTAGACTGAATAAAGAAAACGTGGTACATATACACCATGGAATACTACGCAGCCACAGAAAAGAACAAGATCATTTCATTTGCAGGAACATGAATGGAACTGGAGGCCATCATCTTTAGCAAACTAACACAGGAACAGAAAAACAAATACCGCATGTTCTCACTTAAGAGTGGGAGCTAAATGATGAGAACACATGAACACAAAGAGGGGAACAACAGGCACTGGGACCTCCCAGAGGGTAGAGGCTGGGAGAAGGGAGAGGAGCAGAAAAAAATAACTATTGGGTACTAGGCTTAGTGTCACCTGGGTGACAAAATAATCTGGACATCAAACCATTATGACCTGAGTTTTTCGATATAACAAACCTTCACATGTACCCCTGAACATAAAATAAATGCTAAAGAAAAAACAAAATCTAATTATATTCTGGAGGGAGGAGAAACATGACACTTTTGATTATATACTATATATATTTTATCTTTCTCAAAGGAAGTAAACATGATGGCTATGACCCGTTATTAACATCTAATTTTTATTTTGTTATTTCCAGTAACAAGCATTTACAATGAACTGTAAACTAAGCTTCAGTTTCATCAAGAATAAAAGATCTTTGAAACAGTACCTTGCACAAATGTTTGATCTGGATACCTGCTCTCAAATCAGTTGGTTCAGCTTCAAAATACTTGCTTTGCATTTGCTCATAAAATTGACTGACTTCAGTTTTTTTCTCAGGTGATTCCACAAACCAGTAAGAGTGCTATGAAGGGAAGAAAAGTACAATCACTGCCAAGGCACGGAAAGGCAGTGCTAAACAATACTTTGGTCTGTTAGCTTTTGTACTGAGATGGATTGCATAAAATTTCTTGAAATTAAAATTTTGGAGTTAATTGGCTAGTGTCTGAACACCCCGGGCATAAAACACGGACCATCCTTTTTTTTTTTTTTTTTTTTTTTTTTTTTGAGACAGAGTCTTGCTTTGCTGCTCAGGCTGGAGTGCAATGGCGCAATCTCGGCTCACTGCAACCTCCACCTCCTGAGTTCAAGCAATTCTCCTGCCTCAGCCTCCCGAGTAGCTGGGACTGCAGGTGTGCACCACCACACCTGGCTAATTTTTGTATTTTTAGTAGAGACGTGGTTTTGCCATGTTGGCCAGACCGGTCTTGAATTCCTGACCTCAGGTGATCCGCCCTTCTTGGTCTCCCAAAGCGCTGGGATTACAGGCATGAGCCGCGGTGCCCAGCCGAAAAGCAGACTACTCTATTAAAATTGTAAGAGGCCGGGTGCGGTGGCCCAGGCCTGTAATCCCAGCACTTTGGGAGGCCGAGGCGGGTGGATCGTGAGGTCAGATCGAGACCATCCTGGCTAACACGGTGAAACCCCGTCTCTAATAAATATCCGGGAAAAAAAAAAAAAAAAAAAAAAAAAAAAAAAAGGCCAGGCGCTGTGTCTCACGCCTGTAGTCCCAACTACTCAGGACCCTGAGGCAGAAGAATGGCATGAACCGGGGAGGCGGAGCTTGCAGTGAGCCGAGATCGCGCCACTGCACTGCCCTCCAGCCTGAGTGACAAGAGCAAGACTCCATCTCAAAAATAAAAGAAGAAAAAAATCTTAAGGAAGACAAAAGAAAATCACTGAGAGATGAGGCTGTAGCAAACAGTATTATATTACTGTATTGGATCTTCTTTTCTGAGCGATACAGAAGTGAAAAATAGTATGAAAAAATACTGAGAAGAGAGGGCAGGATACAAATGCTCCCCCTTTCTCTGTGGTTCTGACTATACGAGATCTGATCTAACCAAGGAAATAATGCAGGTGGTGTGCGCCCAGACATAACTAACCTCTCCTAGCATGTAAAGACCCATCATATATTAATTTATTTTTATTTTATTTTTTTTGAGATGGAGTTTCGCTCTTGTTGTGCAGGCCGGAGTGCAATGGTGCGATCTCGGTTCACTGCAACCTCCACCTCCTGGGTTCAAGCAATTCTCCTGCCTCAGACTCCCAAGTAGCAGGGATTACCCGCACCCGCTACCATACCCGGCTAATTTTTGGATTTTTGTAGAGATGGAGTTTTGCCATGTTGGTCAGGCTGGTCTCAAACTCCTGACCTCAGGAGATCCACCCACCTTGGCCTTCCAAAGTGCTGGGATTACAGGCGGGAGTCACTGCATTGGCCCCATCATATATTAATGTCTTTATGCCAGAGTTTAATCCTTTTAAAACATTTTCCTATAAAAGTGATAGATGACTCATAATTTGTAAAGTTTGAGGTCTCAAGTTTTTTTTTTTTTTTGAGATGGAGTGTCGCTCTGTCGTCCCAGCTGGAGTGCAATAGCACAGTCTTGGCTCACTGCACCCTCTGCCTCCCGGGTTCAAGCGATTCTCCTGCCTCAGGCTTCAGAGTAGCTGGGAGTACAGGCATGCCACCATGCCTGGCTAATTCTTTGTATTTTTAGTAGAGACAGGGTTTCACCATGTTGGCCAGGCTGGTCTCGAACTCCCGACCTCAGGTGATCCACCTACCTCAGCCTCCCAAAGTGCTGGGATTACCAGCGTGAGCTACCATGCCCAGCCGATCACAAGCTATCATCTACCACTACTTACGTTTACTGGAGGGCTTAGAAGGGATTAGGATATGGCTAGTGAATTAGTATGGCTGAAGTGTAAATGAAAATGGTTCTTCCACCTGACCTACTGATTCCATTACAGACAGAGCTTTTATAAATATCATAAATGAAGTTCATAAGGATGGTGCCTCTATCAATAACAGAAGAATTATAACTTACCTGTAAGAAAAAGTTCCACGGCTTGGGCACACCATAGCTTCCTGGAAAGACAGCTTCTATATACCAGGCCACAAGGCTATACAAGAAAGCATCAAATAAAAACATTCCCAGCACATGGGCAAAATAAAAGTTATCCAGTGTAGTTGATGAGAAGATGTTACTCCATTTAAGTCCAACTCCTAAGACATAACAGCAGAGGATGAATTTGGTGCCAACTGAGATTAAAAGTTATTTATCTATATCAAATTAAATACTTAAGAAAATAATTGTGTTGATGCTTTCTGGAGATCCCTACTACAGTCAGTCACTTTCTTGCACCCTTAGAATTTAGGTTGCCCCTGAGGGCATCTCAGTAACTAATCAGGGAATATGCTCCCCATTATACCCCAAACAAGCAAATAATTGGAAAAGACTGAAACAAAAATAAAATGTAGCTGTGTGTGGTGGCTCACACCTGTAATTCCAACACTTTGGGAGGCTTAGGCGGGCAGATCACCTGAGGTCAGGAGTTCGAGACCAGCCTGGCTAACGTGGTGAAACCCCGTTTCTACTAAAAATGCAAACATTAGCTGAGCATGGTGGCAGGTGCCTGTGATCCCAGCTGCTCGGGAGACTGAGGCAGGAGAATTGCTTGAACCTGGGAGGCAGAGGTTGCAGTGAGCTGAGATCACACCACTGCACCCCAGCCTGGGCCATAGAACAAGACTGTCTCAAAAAAAAAAAAAAAAAAAAAAAAAAATTACATATGTAAGAAAAAGTTCCATGTCTGGGGCACACCATAGCTTCCTAGAAAGGCAGCTTCTATGTACAAGGCTATACAAGAAAGCATTAAATAAAAACATTCCCAGCACATAGGCAAAAAAAAAAAATTTTTTTGTTATATATATAAAAGTCAGGAAAATAGGGTTTAACAAAAATAAGCAGGCTTATGGGTTGTTAAGACAGTGGCTCCTCTCTCTCCACCCCTCCTCATGCCAAATGTTCATGGAAATAAAAAATTTTAGAAAAACATAACCATTGAAAAGTAGGGATGAATGCTGACCACAAGACAGAAGACTAGAAGAATTCTTGCATAGATACTGCGCTGATAGTAAAAGGAAGGCGGATACTAAAAGCAGACCGTGTCACTTTCCATCTATCATTAGACAGCAGGTGGCAACTCCAAAAGGAGCGGGAGGAGGCTTGCAGGAAATTTTGGAAATACTAATACAGAATGCGTAAGCACTCACGTCTGTAGGTGGTGGTATAAAGTACTGCAGTTTTTTGAAGGGGAGTTTAGCAGTCTCAATCAATATTAGAATTGGAAATAGCCAATCAGATACCAAAGATATATCTACTAGAAACATTGTAAAAATTACGAGGTAAATACTCACTCCATGTTTCTGCATCAGCTAGAAATTTAACTCCCAATGCCATTGCAAAATTTGAGCTGAGACAGGCTGCCAGCTTCTGGATAAATGTCATATTTCCATAGTAGACATGGAGGCCAGCAGCTGGAAAGTAGATGGCGAAAAAAAACAAACCTCCCAAAGCAACTGCAATATTCACTGCAATTAAGAAGAAAATTATAAGGTCAATGTAAGCAATCTTCAAGAATCTAATGCGCAAATATTTTTGTTGATGAGTGCACGAAAATAAATGCCGTGAGAAACAGAAACTTGACTGTTTTATACAACATTGCTTCCCTCAGCACAGGGCTCTAATAGATAAAGTAAACAGCATGCAAAATTAGTAAGCAATATAAGTATAGAGATAAAAATCCTAAGAATGAATGAAAAAGAAATGCTAATGATTAAAAACAGTGTAACCAAAATGAAGAATGCCTTTGAGGGGTTTATTCATAGACTGGACATGGCTAAGGAAAGAATCTCTGAGCTTAGAGATATCTGGATAAAAATCTCAAGAACTGTAAAGCAAAGAAAACAAAGACTGAAGAAAAAAAGGACAGTACAAAATATCCAAGGACCATGTGACAATTGCAAAAGGTATAATAAATGCATAATGAGTACATAAGACGTAGAAAAAAGAAAGAAACAGAAGAAATATTTGACACAATAATGACTGCAAATTTCCCCCACATTAACATCAGACGCCACACCACAAACCCAGAAAACTCAGAGAACACCAAGCAGGATAAATGCTAGAAAACTTCAATTAGGCAAATCATTTTCATGTTACAGAAAATCAAAGATAAAGAAAACAAAAGCCTGAAAAAAGCCAGAGGAAGAAAATACCTTACTTATAGAGGAACAAAGATAATTACATCCAACTTTTTTTCAGAAACAAAACCAGAACGGGATTGAAATATTTAAAGTGTTGGAAGAAAAAAACTTCCAATCTAAAATTCTGCACCCTGTGAAATTATCCTTTGAACGTAAAAGAGAAATAGACTTTCCTAGACAAACAAAAATTGAGGAAATTTGTTGCCAGTTCACCTGCCTTGCGAGAAACATTAAAAGAAATTATTTTAAGAGAAGAAAAGTGAAACCTGAATCTCTTTATGTAGATTAGGTTAGAACCTCTAATCCACTTAAAGCAGAGCACCAAAGAATTAATAAGTGAAGGCAACGTAAAATCTTTTTCCCCCACCTTTATTGAAAAATAACAATTGTATATATTTCAAGTGTATGATGTGATGATTTGATATACCTATACATTGTGAAATGATTATCACAATCAAGCTGATTGACACATCATCTCATATTTGTGTGTGTGGGGGGGGGTCGGGTGGAGGGAGAATACTTAATATTTACTTTGGATAAAGAAAATGTGGTACATACACACCATGCAATACTATGCAGCCATAAAAAAGAATGAGATCATATCTTCTGCAGGGACCTAGATGGAGCTAGAAGCCATTATCCTTAGCAAACTCATACAGTAATGGAAAACCAAATACCGCATGTTCTTACTTATAAGTGGGAGCTAAACGATGAGAATGCATGGACATATAGAGGGGAACAACACACATGGGGGACTTTTGGAGGGTGGAGAGTTGGAAGACAAAAAGGATCAGGAAAAATAACTAATGGGTACTAGGCTTAATACCTGGGTAATGAAATAATCTGTACAGCAAACCCCCACAACACAAGTTTACCTACGTAACAAATCTGCTCTTGTGTCTCTGAACTTAATAAAAGTTAAAAAATTGAAGTATACAATATAGTATTATTAACTATTGTCATCATGATGTACATTTCTTGTTCTTAATTGATCTAACAACTAAGAGTTGATTCACAAAAATAACAGCAACAATGAATTTGATTATGTACACTTATGTATACATATATCTTAGGTATACATACTTATGTATGTTTATATATAAATGAAATGAATGACAACCATGATAGGATGGGAGAAAGGAATAAGAATTATTTTGTTATTATAAGGTACTCACACTACTAGTGAAGTAATATAGTGTTATTTTAAAGTAATTTTGAATTACTGTAAATGTATATTGCAAACTCTAGTGCAACTACTAAAAAAAGTAAAAAAAGAAAAAAGAAGTACAACTGATATGCTGAGGAGAGAAAATGGAACCATATAAAATGCTCAAGGAAAACCACAAAAGGCAGAGAAAGAGTGGAAGACAAAAGTAGAAACAAAGAATAAGGGCAACAAATAGAATACTATTGAACAAATACAGTAGATATTAGTCTAACTATAGTAATAATCACTTTGAATGTCAAAGGTCTAAATGCACCAATTAAAAGAGATTGTCAGAGGGGATTAGAAAAAAATAAGGCCCTATGGAATGTGGTCTACAAGAAACCCATGTTAGCTATGAAAACCCATGTAGATTAAAAGCAAATGGGTGGAAAAAATATACCATGCTAACACTAAGCAAAAGAAAGCAAGACTAGCCATATACATTAGTCTCAGCACACTTCAAAGCTAGTAAAGTTATCAGAGATGAAGAACGGCATTACATAACAATAAATGGGTCAAATCTCCAAGAAGACATAACAATCCTTAAAGCGTATGCACTTAAGAGCAGACCATCAAAATACATGAGTGAAAAACTAATAGAACTCTAAGGAGAAAAAGCTGAATCCACTATTATAGTTGGAGACTTTCATAACCCTCTATCAGAAATGGACAGATCCAGCAGGCAGAAAATCACTAAGGACATAGTTGAACTCAACAACACCATCAATGAATAGTATATAATAAACATCTATAGGCTACTTAATTTAACGACAGCAGAATACAAATTGTTGTCAAGCTCACATGGAACATTCACCAGGACAAACCATATTCTGGGTCATAAAACACATCTTAACAAACGTAAAGGGACAAAAATCACACAATGTCAGCTCTCAAACCATATGACATTAAAATAGAAAAAAAAATAACTGAAACATACTGGGAAACATCAAAACACATGGAGATTAAATGATATATTTCTAAATTATACTTGGGTCAAAGAAGAAATATCATAAGAAATTAATGCGTTGAAGGCATATATTAGAAAAGAAGAAGGATCTAAAACCAATAATCTAAGTTTCCACCTTAGGAAACTAGAAAAGGAAGAACAAATTAAATCCAAAGTAAGCGGAAGAAAAGAAATCATGAGCATTAGAGTAGAAATTAATGATATTAAAAACAGGAGATCAATAGAGAAAATTAATGAAACCAAAAGCTACTTGTTTGAAAATATTAATAAATCTTTAGGCATGTTGAGAAAAAAAAAGACAAAAATTAATAATAAAGTGAAAAGATAAGTTTGCCAGGAGTTGAGTGATTACGATGTGTTAGTATGTTTATCAATTGTAACAAATGTACTACTCTGATGTGGGATGCTGATAATGGGTGAGGTCATGCATGTGGGGAGCAGAGGGTCTACAGGAAATCTCTGTACCTTCATCATAATTTTGCTTTTAATCTAAGACTGCTCTTAAAAATATCTTTTAAAAAAATTAGGAAGGGCCAAGAGTGGTGGCTCATGCCTGTGGTCCCCGCACTTTTGGAGACTGAGGTGGGCGGATCGCTTGGGGCTAGGAGTTAGAGACCAGCCCGGGCAATGTGGTGAAACCCCATCTCTACTAAAAAATACAAAAATTAGCAAGGCATGGTGGCACACGCCTGTAATCCCAGTTACTTGGGAGGCTGAGGCACGAGAATCGCTTGAACCAGGAGGCAGAGGTTGCAGTGAGCCAAGATCGCACTAGTGTACTCCAGCCTGGGCAACAGAGCAAGACTGTCTCAAAAACAAACAAACAAAAAAATTAAGAGATATTAGGAAATTCCCAGATTAGTAAAAGCAAAGAAAATTTAATAGATCTGCCCTACAATGTGGTTCTTTCAGCTTAATGAAAGGACATTAGATGGTAGTGTGAAGTCATATGAAAAAATAAAGAGCTCCAGTGAAGGTAACTACATAGGCAGATATAAAAGCCAGTGTTATGATAATGGTTTCTTTTTCCTTTTATATGATTTAAAAGATAAATGCATAAAATAATGATAAACGTGTTAATAGGCACACAATATAAAGATGTAATTTGGAAAAATACCAACATAAAGAGGAGCTGACACTTGACAGAAGAGTTTTTGTGTAGTATTAAAGCTAAATTGTTATTAATCCAAATTAAATTGTTTAAGATACTAATTGTAATATCCAAATTACCCCCTCAGAGAAGAATTAGAAAATATACAGAAAAGGAAATTAGATGGGACTCAAAATGGAAGACACGAGAGAAACAAAAGATATGACATATATAAACAAATACCCAAACGGCAGATGATGTCAGCTCTGTATTTATTTATTTTTTTTTTTTTTTGAGATAGAGTCTCACTCTGTCACCCAGGCGGGAGTGCAGTGGCATGATCTTGGCTCACTGCAACCTCTGCCTCCCAGGTTCAAGTAGTTTTCCTGCCTCAGCCTCTGGAGTAGCTGGGATTACAGGCACATGCCACCACGCCCAGCTAATTTTTGTATTTTTAGTAGAGACAGGGTTTCACCATGTTGGTCAGGCTGGTCTCGAACTCTTGACCTCGTGATGCATCCGCCTCAGCCTCCCAAAGCTGGGACTACAGGCGTGAGCCACCGCGTGTGGCCAATGTTCTGTATTATTATCTTCACTAAAAAGGCAAAGGTGGCAGAATGGATTTTTAAAAAATGATTCAAATACACAAACTTGTTGAAAGTGAAAGGATGGAAAAAGACACTCCAGGCAAATAACAAAAAGACATCAGGGTGGTTATATGAATATTAGACAAAATAGACTTTAAGTAAAAATATTGTGAGAAATTTTCAATAACTATAAAAAATCAGAATGCATTAACAGAGTTACAGAAGAGGAGACACACATGACTCATATTAGTAACACACGCTCAGCTTCATTAGCAATTGGGAAATGCAGATTTAAGTTGCTATGCGATAACATTTCATAGCCCTAATTTGGCACAATTTAAAGCTTGGCAATTCTAAACATTGGCAAGAATATGGAGCATGATGATTCTCATCTTCTTCCAGTGAGGCTGTAAATTCATAAAACCACTTTGCACATAAGCCCTCAATGGGAAAGGAAACGATTTTTCTTGTTCTTTGTATGTTAGACCCTATACGAGGTCAGATATCCATTTTTTTTTTTTTTGAGACAGAGTCTCACTCTGCTGCCCAGGCTATAGTGCAGTGGTGCAATCTCGGTTCACTGCAACCTCCACCTCCCAGGTTCAGGTGATTCTCCTGTCTCAGCCTCCTGAATAACTGAGATTACAGGTGCCCACGATCACACATGGCTAATTTTTGTATTTTCAATAGACAGAGTTTCACCACGTTGGCCAAGTTGGTAACGAAGTCCTGACCTCAAGTGATCCACCCACCTTAGCCTCCCAAAGTGCTGGGATTACAGGTATGAGCCACCACTCTCGGTCACAGATATCCAAAAATTTAAATGAATGAATGAATGAATGAATGTATAGTTGCATCCACTGATTTGACTTCCTATTCATTCCCTTCTTCCAATCCTTCACAAACCTACCTCAATTGAAGCATTTCTAGGCCTTTCTCAACCTGGAATATCTTAATCCATTTCCTTTTTTAAAAATGTGTACACTATACTTCATTAATTTTCGTTGTTCTCTGCATGTCTTCTTATGATGGTTAATGTTATGTGTCAACTTGACTCTCCATGGGGTATACAGATTAAACGTTATTTCTGGGTGTGTCTGTGAGGAGGTTCCCAAATGAGATAAGCATTTGAATTAGTAGACTCAGTAAAGCAGATGGTCCTCCCCAATGTGTTGAGGGCCTAAAAAGAACAAAAGGGTGGAGGAAGCAGGAAATTCTCTCTCATTTCTTCCTTGCTGCCTGCTTGACTGGGACATCAGTCTGTTCCAGCCTTTGAACTGGGATTTACACCATCACCTCCCCTGGTTCCCAGGCCTTCAGAGTCAGACTGGAATTATATCGCTGGTTTTCCTGGGTACCCAGCTCGTACTCTGCAAATCATGTGACTCTCGCTAATGTATTTCATAAACTACTTTGTTTGCATATAATATTCATGTCCCCAAGGTCAGTATTAGCTCTGTGGGGCAGACAGTATATTTCAGATACATACGCTGGGCACGGTGGCTCATGCCTGTAATCGCAGCACTTTGTGGGGCTGAGGCGGGTGGATCACCTGAGGTCAGGAGTTCAAGACCAGCCTGGCCAACATGGTGAAACCTCATCTCTACTAAAAATACAAAAATTAGCCGGGCATGGTGCCAGGCACCTGTAGTCCCAGCTACTCGGGAGGATGAGGCAGGAGAATTGCTTGAACCCGGGAGGCAGAGGTTGCAGTGAGCCGAGATTGAGCCACTGTACTCCAGCCTGGGCCACAGAATGAGACTCTGTCTCACAACAAACAAACAAACAAAAAACAAAACAAAACAAAAACAAATACACAGAAGACACACAATTAGGATCTATTAATTAAGTGCAAGAACCCTTTCTTTCATTGAAGCAGTACTGCCGTTTTCTTTCTCTTCACATATACCACTCTCATCATCAGATACTAGCAAACATCAGTCCCTCCAACGGAATATACAGGAGCCATCTCCATCTCAACCCTTCCTGGTGGAAGGGTTTGACAAATACCATACATGAAGTAGCAGCTAAAGTTTAGAAAGAATACCCAGACATGATCTTATTTTGGTTTTTGTCTTTTTTCGCATGTATCCTATGCTATGCTAATTGTCATTGCTCTCTTCCTTCCCTTCCAAATCATTTCACATGTATATGATATTTGTCTTTTCGGTTAGAGTGCGTAAACAGAGGCTATAATGAGTTGGCAGCTAAAGTGTAGTTACTGAGAATATTTCACCACTAGAATCTCAGACTCACCTTTACTGAAGAAAGTGCTAACCATAAAGCTGAAGCATATTGTGGCGATGGCATAAAACAGCAAAAAGATAACGATAAGGGTTGGGTCACTGCTTTGGATGACTGGTGCCGGTTTAACCTAGCAAAACAATTAGGAAACCAGTTTAGTCATGCTCTAAGTGGTACTGCACCAAAACCAAAGAGGAAAAATGAAACATCCATAAGTATTTTAAGAGTCTTAGTGAAACTGATGACTTTGCTCAGTGAAATGGAGAGTTAACAATTTATTTCTTACAGATGGCCCATCCCTCTAGGTCTAAAGTTTTGTTTGCTGAGAGACTAAGCAGTCTCTGAGTTTCCACTGTGGAGTCAACAAAAGCCACATTTTCATCCCCTAGAAACCCAAGGCCCATTTGGCCCCACACCATGTTTCCGCTTTCCCTCTCAAAGTTTATTCACAACATGCTGCAGTCAGATAGACACTTGCCTTGACAAAGAAAACTATGCACATAAAAATGATGATAATGGAATACAAACAGAGGAACGTGAAGAAATAGGCCACCCAGAGCATCCAATTACTGACTCCTATCATGAGCTGATACTCCTGTGGGAGAGTTGACAGAAATCAGATATCATGTAAAATAATACATCCATACAGTGCCTTAGAGTTTTCAAAATACATTCACAAATATTATCTAGTTTAATGTCTACAATCAAAATGGGTTAAATAATGAGTATTATTATCTCCAATTTATAAAGGATAGAATCAGGACTCAGAAAGTCAAGTAGCTTCATCAAAATTAGTCAGCTAGTGAGTGGCAGTACTGTGATTCTTAAAAGCCCAGAAATAATTTCCCCAATAATTCACCATATATTGTTAAGACATACAAAACAGTTAAATGAAGCTATAAACCACCTATATTATCCTCTCCTTTCTTTTTATATCCTCTCCCAGAAGGAATTAAAAAATTTTAAATATATTTTAATTCACTCACAATGGTTAGAAACAAACATTAAAAATAAGATAACAGGTAAGGAAGAAAAAGCTCACAGAATTTTAGCAATAATCTTTATGAACTATACATTTTCTTTAGCGGTAGTTGTTTATAGACATATGTGGTATTTCAAGTTTTAACCAAAAAAAAACTTGAATATAATGTATAAGTCTGTTAAGAAGATTCAAATAAGTGATATAAGTTTTCAGAGGCTAATTTAAATATTTTTACTGAATTTTATTAATATGTTAATAGTAAATTCTATGGCTTTAGGCTGTATAAGGGCAGATAACTGTATCTGCCTGGCACATAGAAGGTGTTTAATAAATGTTTGCTGAATAAATAAATGAATGAATGTGAGAATCTTTGGAAATATGCATATTTTTCAGTTTTAAAAAATGAATACAGGACCACTTTATTACTTATAGGGGACAAAAATAGAGAGATAAAGTGTCTCTTTTAAGTTTTCTAGGGATCAGTGCTAGAACCAGACTTAACAAATTTTATCGAACAATTAAAATGACAAAGTATATTTAACAAAAGCAGTGCAAGAGTTCTACACAGAACACTAAAAAACACTCTTGAAAGAAATTAAAGCATAATAAATGGAAAGATGCCTCATTTATATGGATCAGAAGACTTAATATTATTAAGATAGCAATACACCTCAATTTGTTCTGCAGATTGAGCACAATCCCTTTCAAAATCTCTGTGGTTATTTTACATAGATTGACAAGCATATAGAGTCTTGCTCTGTTACCAAGGCTGGAGTGCAGTGGTGCGATCTCGGCTCACTGCAACCTCCACCTCCTGGGTTCGAGATCAATAAGGAAAAAGAGAGCCAATTTAACCTAACATACACAGAGCATGCCACCCAGCAAAAACAGAATACAGATTTTTCTCAAGTGTGCATAAAACGTATCCAGGATAAACCATATTACTCTACAAAACAAGTTTTACTACATTTAAAGACTGAAATTATACAAAATACCTTTTCTTATCACAAAGGAATAAAACTAGAAAACAATAAAAGGAAAACTGGAAAATTCATAAATATGTAGAAATGAAGCAAAACACTCTTAACCAACCAATAGCTAAATGAAGAAATCAGAAGGAAATGTAGCAACTGCCTTGAGACAAATAAAAACAAAAGCACAACATACTAAAACTTGTGAGATGCAGTGAAAGCAGTACTCAGAGGGAAATTTATAGCTGTAAATACCTATATTAAAGAAAAATAAAAATTTCAAATAAATAACCTAACTTTACACCTTAAGGAACTAGACAAGTAAAGTATACATAAATTTAGGAGAAAAAAGGAATTGAGATAGAGAATAGGTAAATAATAGAGAAATTCAACAAAACCAAAAGTTAATAATTTGAAAAGATAAAGAAATTGACAAACTTTTAGCCAGACTAAGAAAAATTGAGAAGACTCAACTAAAATCAGAAATGAAAGTGAGAGCATTACTTCTGATTTTACAGAAATAAAAAGAATGATCTCAGAGTACTATGAACAATTGTATGCCAAAATATTGAATAACATAGATGAAATGAACAAATTTGTAGGAACATACAACTACCCAGCCTGAGTCATGAAGAAATACAAAATCTGAACTGACTTATAACTAGTAAGGACATAAAATCAGTAATCAAACCACTCAACGAAGAGTAACCCTGGACCAGAGGGCTTTACTGGTGAATTCTACCAAATATTTAAAGAAGAATAAACAATAATTCTTTTCAAACTCTTCCAGAAAACTGAAATGGAGATAACACTCTCTAACTTATTTTATGAGGTCAGGATTACCTTGATAGCAAAGTCAGGCTAAAACATGACATGAAAAGATTATGAATATTACTGAAAAGGTTCTCAACAGAAATACTAGCAAGTAAAAATCACCAGCATATTAAAAGGATTATATATCATTACCAAGGAGGATTTCTATCTGGAGTACAAAGAAGATTCAACAAACACAATCAATTAATTTAATGCATCACATGCAGAGAAGAATGGAAAAAACACATAATCATCTCAACTGACGCAGGAAAATATTAACATTTTTAAAATGATGAAACACTCAATACACTAGGAATAGAAGGACATTTTCTCAACATAATAAAGGCCATATATAAAAATCTGCAACTGACATCATAGTATTTCATCAACAATCAGGAGAAAGACAAATATGCCTGCTTTTTCCATGGGCTAGAAATTTAAGTTCTAGCCAGAAAAATTAGGCAAGAAAAATAAAAGCCATCCAAATTGGAAAGAAATAAAAATATCTCTGTAAATGACAAGATCTAGCCATACTTACACACAAAAAATAAATTCAGCAAAATCGTAGGATACAAAATCAACACACAAAAATTACTTGCATTTCTATATACTAACAACAGACAATCCAAGATGAAAATTAAGAAAACAATTGTATTCACAATAGCATGGAAATGAATACAATACTTAGGAATAAAGAACAATGGAGACAAAAGATTTCAACACAAAAAACCTACAAAACATTGCTGAAAGAAACTAAGGCAAATATACGTTAAAAATATCTCATGCATTTTAAAATGTAGATTTTATTATTACTCAAGTATAGTGAAGCCAACAGATCAGGAGACAATTGCCACTGAGAAAACATAAATAATGATCCATTACTGGGTATAGATGCAAAGTATTTTAAATCATTCTACTATAAAGACACATGCACACATATGTGTGCTGCAGCACTGTTCACAATAGCAAAGACTTGAAACCAACCCAAATGTCCATCAAGGATAGACTGGATAAAGAAAATGCAGCATGTGGATCATTCCAAGACGGCCAAAGAGGAACAGCTCAGGTCTACAGCTCCCAGCGTGATTGATGCAGAAGACAGGTGATTTCTGCATTTCCAACTGAGGTACGTGGTTCATCTCACTGGGACTGGTTGGACAGTGGGTGCAGCCCATGGAGTGTAAGCCAAAGCAGGGCAGGGCATTGCCTTACCTGGGAAGTGAAAAGGGTCAGGGGATTTCCCTTTCCTAACCAAGGGAAGCCATGAGAGACAGTATCTGGAATATTGGGACACTCCCGCCCTAACACTGTGCTTTTCCAGTGGTCTTCACAAGAGGCACACCAGGAGATTATATCCCACAACTGGCTCTGTGGGTCCCATGCCCACAGAGCATTGCTCACTGCTAGTGCAGCAGTCTGAGATTGAACACCCAGGTGGCAGCCAGGCTGGGGGAGGGGCGTCCATCATTGCTGAGGCTTGACTAGGTAAACACAGCAGCCAGGAAACTCAAACTGGGTGGAGCCCACCACAGCTCAATGAGACCTATCTGCCTTTGTCGACTTCACCTCTGGGGGCAGGGCTTAGCTGAACAAAAGGCAGCAGAAACTTCTGCAGACTTAAAACGTCCCTCTCTGACAGCTCTGAAGAGAGCAGTGACTCTCCCAGCACGGAGTTTGAGCTCTAAGAATGGACAGACTGCCTCCTCAAGTGGATCCCTAACCCCCAAGTAGCCTAAATGGGAGACACCTCCCCAGTAGGGGCCAACCTCATACAGCTGGGTGCCCCTCTGAGATGAATCTGCCAGAGGAAGGATCAGGCAGCAATATTTTCTGTTCTGCAATATTTGCTGTTCTACAGCCTCCGCTGGTGGTACCCAGGCAAACAGGGTCTGGAGTGGACCTCCAGAAAACTCCAACAGACCTGCAGCTGAGGGTCCTGACTGTGAGAAGGAAAATGAACAAACAGAAAGGAATAGCACCAACATCAACAAAAAGGACATCCACACCAAAACCCCATCTGTAGGTCACCATCATCAAAGACCAAAGGTAGATAAAATCACAAAGATGGGAAGAAACCAGAGAAGAAAAGCTGAAAATTCTGAAAACCAGAGTGCCTCTTCTTCTCCAAAGGATTGTAGCCCCTCACCAGCAATGGAACAAAGTTGGACGGAGAATGACTTTGACAAGTTCACAGAAGTAGGCTTCAGAAGGTTGGTAATAACAAACTTCTCTGAGTTAAAGAAGCATGTTCAAACCCATTGCAAGGAAGTTAAAAACCTTGAAAAAAGATTAGATGAATGGCTATCTAGAATAAACAGCAAGGAGAAGACCTTAAATGACCTGATGGAGCTGAAAATCATTGCACGAGAACTATGTGATGCATGCACAAGCTTCAGTAGCCTATTCATTCAAGTGGAAGAAAAGGTATCAGTGACTGAAGATCAAATTAATGAAATAAAGAAGACAAAGTTAGAAAAAAAGAGTAAAAAGAAAAAACAAAGCCTCCAAGAAATATGGGACTATGTGAAAAGACCAAATCTACGTTTGATTGGTGTACCTGAAAGTGACGGGGAGAACTGAACCAAGTTGGAAAACACTCTTCAGAATATTATCCAGGAGAACTTCCCCAACCTAGCAAGGCAGGCCAACGTTCAAATTTAGGAAATACAGAGAACACCACAAAGATACTACTTCAGAAGAGCAACCCCAAGACACATAATTATCAGATTCACCAAGGTTGAAATGAAGGAAAAAATGTTAAGGGCAGCCAGAGAGAAAGGTCGGGTTACCCACAAAGGGAAGCCCATCAGACTAACAGCAGATCTCTTG